TATATGAGTAATCAAATAAAAACCACTCCAATTTGTAAAAACCGTAAAAACTACTCTCATCTGTCGTTAATCTTATGAAATTTTTTCATGAAATTGTTAATCTTGTGAAATTGTTTCATATAATATTTTTTTTATGAAGTTGCTTCATATGTGGTTATGAAATTGTTTCATATACTACTTAATGAAATTTTAATGAAACTGTTTCATGTATTTCTTCCAAAATTAAAATAATGAAGATGATAATATCTATGATTAACACCTTCCACAATAAAAATGGTTAATCAACCTCTCATAATTACAAAAAAATGAACAAAATGAAAAATTATGATCGGTTGAATGAGGTTTTCACGGTTTTTACAAATTGATTGGTTTTTATTTGAACCCACTCCTATATGCATAAATTACTGATCATAATAAAAACCGTGAAAACCTCATTCAACCGATCATAATTTTTATTGGATTACTCACCAAACATTTTTATATCGGGTTGTATTAGAAAAAATGAAATCAACGGTTGAGATTGGGTTATATGAATAAAAAAATGAACAAAATGAAAGATGAATATGGTTCATTAATTATGATCGATAGTTTATATTAGAAAACAATAAAAACTTTTATGAAATCACATAATCATCAAATGAAATCAACGGTTGAGATTGAGTTGTATTGGTTGATTAAAACATTATCGGTTGATGAATATGTGATTTTATAGAAGTTTTTATTGTTTTCTAATATAAACTATCGATCATAATTAATGAACCATATTAATCTTTCATAAATATTCAAATCATAATAAATTAACTCTTATCATTTTCATAAATATCTCAATATATTAAGTTGTATTGATTATACAAATGCAATAGTTTGTATTTGAACCAAAGTCTCTCTCTATATAAATGCAAAAAACGTCTTCATCTTTTGTTACATATAATATTATATAACATTTATAGGAATTTGCATTTGATCTTCAACTTTTGTTGCTTAGAAAATATCGATATCAAAGATATTGGATTACTCACCAAACATTTTTATATCTGCAAATTCCATGCTGTCGTTGTTTGTTTTCTGAATCTTGGTGTTATCATCTTCCAATACAAAACAAGATTCTCAACCCAAATCTATTCCAAATTCCACTAAATTAATCCGAACTTCCACATGGTTTTGCTGTGAATTTAAATGTAAAAAAATGGTCTCACAGCTCTCACGAAAACAGGTTGATCTCACGTGATCCTAAATTTCTCTTTATATGTATGTATATAGGGTTAGGTTTCATTGAGAAGTAGAGTTAAGTTAAGAAGCGTAAAAAGAAATTCCCGCCTTTAGATGCATATTAGAATGAGATGTACCGGATCAATCCCTGTATCAAGCGCGATTCTTGAATGAGTTTGAGATTAAAGGTGATCAAATGTCCAAATTTCTTCTCACACTTCTCATCTTAACTCTTCTTCTCGTATATATACTTCGCCTATATGTATCTATCTATCTATCTATATATATATATATATATATATATATATATATATATATATAATATTACGAGTGCCGGAAGCTGGCGTACCATCCTACATATGCTAACCAAACATAATGAGATCCTTTTGGTTGTTTCTAATCTCCTTACAATTCTTTGTTCATATTTAATCACACCACCTTTCAACAAATCCACCAACCTCAATTCTTTTTTATTAGGTGGTCGATCAATCATCAACTGCCATTCATCGATTCCTGTACGTTGGATCGACGAATGCGTGAACGCGACGAAGACTTCTGACCACCAGATCGAAGAAGAAGAAGATCGATTGATCGATGTGGGAGCTAAAGATAGCCGAAGGTGATGGGCCCTATTTGTATAGTACCAACAACTTTGTCGGTAGACAATTTTGGGAATTTAATCCCGATCTTGGTACTCACGACGAGAAACAACAAGTCGAAAGGGTTCGCGACAACTTTGCAAATAATCGAAGAAATGGAGGGTTTCATGCTTGTGGCGATCTCCTCATGCGGATGCAGGTAAATGAGAACTTAACCGTCACGCTTTTTGCTTTGATTCGATTTAGATACAGGGTTAGTGGTGTGAACTGAGTCGTATTTATATATATTATATACTTCTAAAAGAAAGTACTTGAAACTGATGATGTGATGTTATATAACGAATAGTTGATAAAGGAAAATGGAATCGATCTTACGAGCATACCTCCAATGAGAGTAAATGAAGGTGAAGAAGCGAGTTTTGAAGCCGTGACCAATGCGGTTAAGAAAGGGGTGAGACTACACCGTGCGATCCAAGCGAAAGACGGACATTGGCCTGCGGAAAATGCTGGCCCCATGTTTTTCACTCCTCCACTCGTAAGCATAATTATTAACGAGTAGAAAGAAAACTGAACACATAAAAAATGTCAAAATGTTATAACAGAATGTTTTACAAGACTTAAGTTTATATGAAAAAAACAATAAAACATTATATATATATATATATATATATATATATATATCTAAAAGTGTTATAATAAGTTTATATGACATGTTTGTGCATTTTAAAGAGTTTTTTTAGAACATTTTTAAAATAAAATGTTGTATCGGCTATTTCGTAAGGAACTATTTGAAAATGTGACATGTAAACCCATTAATTTTATATGACACTTTTTGAAACAGTGTTTTGTATAATAGCTAATACGATGCTTCATTTTGAAAATGTCTTGAAAACTTTTTAAAACGAAAAGCATACTATTATAATTTTTTAGATATAACGCTTTATTTTTTTGTCTTATAAAACATTCTATTAAGACAATTAGACATTTTAAACATCGTATAAACCCGATTTTGTTGTAGTGATAGTTAATTATTAGATCACACGTAACGAGTGTCAATTAGTTTACACTAAGGGGCCGTTTACCATCCCATTATTCCACGTCAACTTTTGTTTTGTTTTGTTTTCAAATTGTAAAACAATACTACATTGTTTCATCTTGTGAAACAACAATTTATTGTTTAACATTAACGACATTATGTTGTTTTACAATCTTGAAAGAATACTTTAGTGTTTCACTTTCACATCACATCTCATATCAACTTTGTTTCGTTTTTACATTCTCAAACAACACTAAATTTGTTTCACTTTAGCGATATTGTATTATTTCATTGTGTGAAATAAAACTTTGGTGTTTTCAGATGATCTTTTAATTACATTTTTTTATGTTTACTATATTTTGTTTTCTAATATGATGTTTTTATTATTTAAAATAGCCAAATTTATTT